ATTAAAATTAAATGAAAATTTGATGATTTCTTTTTTTAATACACCATTAAATAAATAAGGTCGAAGGTTTTGTTTTGATTAACAAACTGAATAAATTTTTTCATCATGTTCATTCTGCTTAAATTAAAATTAAACGAAAATTTAAATCGATCAATTTAATGGTTTGCATTAAGCTCGAGCTAGTTTTAATCAAATTGTCTAACAGAAACAACGAGCTTGATTGAAACTAACTTAACTATTTCGAAAAATTGTTCTTTTTAACAGATATTTTTACATTCTATTTTACACGATTTTACAGTAATTTTATATATATATATATATATATGTAGTAGACTCTATCGATGTTGCTACAAAGGGGTTGAAATTATCCTTTCATCTGCGTACAAGTGGATTAAAAAAGACACCGGGGCCATTGATCAAGAATTTATTGCGAGGATATTGAAAAACTGGCTTCCGCGCCAGACAGAGGAATGAAAATGGAGGAATGAAAGTTGTAAGAGGTGCATTAACGTTTATATCGCGGGAGAATTGAAATCACAAAGTACCGATGTAATCGTGTCACGGCCCCTGTCCACGATTACGTTCTCAAAGGCGCGAGATGAGATTTCACCGAGCGCTCCTCTTCGGACAAAGAAGATCGGTTATCGCGAGGATATTAGCCGCCTGATCGCGATCTTTCATATTTCATATCGAAAATCGGGGAAAAAAATCGACCTCCCTATTTAAATCGTAGACGAAGAAATTAAGAAATTAGAGAAATTTCTATGTTGGATTGTTATCGTGGTCGAGATCGTGATATTTTATATTAAAAATCGTAAAATAAAATCGACCTCCCTATTTAAATCGTGGACGAAGAAATTAAAAAATTAGAGAAATTTCTCTTCGTACATGTCTTTTCATGTTTGATTATTATCGAAATCAATTTCTCGATGCGAGATCGTGATCTTTCATATTTTATATTAAAAATCGTAAAATAAAATCGTCCTCCCTATTTAAATCGTGGACGAAGAAATTAAAAAATTAGAGAAATTTCTCTTCGTACATGTCTTTTCATGTTTGATTATTATCGAAATCAATTTCTCGATGCGAGATCGTGATCTTTCATATTTTATCTTAAGAATCGTAAAAAAAAAAAAAATCGAATTGCCTATTTAAATCGTGGACGAAGAAGAAATTAAAAAATTAGAGAAATTTTTCTTCGTGTATATCTCTTCATGTTGGATTGTTATCGAAATCAAGTCTAAGTTACTGGTTTTATGTCCTACATGTTCAAAGATTGGTTCCACTTTAATCATTGGAATAACGAGTTAGTGTATAGTTGGCTCGATCGAAATCTTTAAGGATCACGATGATTGCAATCCGGATTGTAAATCCACGACCCATTCTTGAAACGATCAACTTTTCATCGAGCTATCATCGCTTGTGCTTATATATTTCATTATCATTTCGTGAGGTGGATAAAAATAGATATTCTATTCGCGATTTTTTCGCGAAAAACATATAGATAATATCGAGAAAAACGTTTCTTCGATGAAGAAATATTAAACGTTCAAATCAAACACAATACAGTAATACCGTTCAATCGAATCAATCCGTGTGACACACGGTATTTTAGCAAGTCAAATTAAATTCATTTACTGCGTATTTTAAATTTAATAAATGGATTTACGATAATACGTTTCACCGTACGCACAATTGGAGATTTAAATCTGGAACGAATCGATTAAAACACACTAGTTTCGTTCAAATTCGAAAATTCCTCTTCTAGATAGATGCTGTTTAAAAAAAGAATTTCCAAAAAAAAAAAAAGGTACAAAATTCCAGATTCTAACCTTCCTTCCTTCCCTCCCTCCCTTCCTCCCTCCCCCTGTTGGACATTTTTCATCCACTCTCAGAATTCGGCACGCGTACGGCCATTGGCAAAATCGCGGGAGGGAAAATGCAGAGCGTTAACGACGCCGCGCTCGAAATCGCATGCCACGCGAGCACAATTTCTCGCGAATTTCGTTCGATAACTGGTGCTGCTTCCGGCAACACGTACGCCGAAAAGGAGGGAAATAAAGAAACAAAAAAAAATTTTTAAAAGAGAAGGGAGAATGAGTTTTTAGAGGTGGAACGCGAGTTCAAATTATCCGGGAGAGGAAGGGGATCGATTTTGAGATCAATTATTGACACGCGTTGTCGGTGTTTCGCGAAATTTACGTTTCTATTGCGGCACACCGAAGCGCGTGTTGTTGACTTTGCACGTATGTCCATCCGTCCACACGTGACGTTTCCAGTGTAATGAATTCGACGATGCAGAATCGGATGAATTGTTACCACGTACCCCACTATGTGTTTACGAAAGAAATGCTACTCTTTGCTACAACTTCATAGATTCGTCGCCATTATCGAGTAAGAGTATCGATTCGAATAATTCTTGGTGAACGCGTCGAAGGATCAAATTATGAATTGATCTCGGACCATTTCTATTCTATCCTTGTTTTATATACGTCATCTCTCCCATTATATTTACGCTGTCATCATTTTTATTCAACGAGAATAATTGTTGGAGAAATCCTACGAATAGGTTGACTTTTCTCCATTGTGAGATATTTTTCTCACGAACGAGTTCACTCTTTCTTTCTCAGGAGAGAGAGAGAGAGAAAGAGAGATAAGGAGAAATGTATTTTTCGAACGATGTCTTGCTTCGAATATAATTCCGGATCCTGTTCTCTCCTATTTTTGTTTATACCGTTGAAAGGAGCACGATTTAAGGGAATAATTCTCGTGGATGAATAGCGGATTCGTTCGTATAAATTCCTTGAGAATTGGAGAGGAATGTTTCCTTGAATAAAATGATAAATGCGACCCTCGGGTAGATTGTTTTCCAAAACATTGCTCTTCCAAACAGGTAAATATGTAACGTGTACAAAACACGTATATGATAATTTTAGGAATAAAAAAAAGCTCGCGTAAAATTCAAAAATTACTTCCATAATGGAAAACTAAGAAATTAAAACTGAGAGATGAAAGTTAAGTGTTTTTTTTTCTTTTAATATTCGCATTAAAGGAAGATAAATATATTTTTTGAAATCGAATTATGAACCTATTAATAATTAACATCGATTTCTTAATTCATATTTTTCTCGTAATAACTTTTTCCTCCGTCTAATAATTGTTAATTTGCACGATTTTTTCATTAAAATATATTTATATTGAGATTACCGAAACGTAATATTTCTTTCTTTCTGTCATATTGTTAAGATAACTCAGAGTAGAAACATACGTCTGATATATCCACAAGTAATACCACTATATATATGTCAGACTATAATCGATCTATACCACTTTTCTTACAACGACTTTATTCTTTTTGATTTCTTGAATTAAAATATATTTATATTAAGATTGAAACGTAATATTTCTTTCTTTCTCTCATATTGTTAACTCGGAATAGGAATATATGTCTGATATATTCACAAGTAATACCACTTGTCAAACTATAATCGATCTATACCACTTTTTTTTTTACTACGATTGTTTTATTCTTCTTGACTTGTTGAATTAAAATATATTTATACTAGGATTATCGAAACGTAATATTTCTTTCTTTCTATCATATTGTTAACTCAAAGTAGGAATATATGTCCGATTATACTTATAACTAATTGTCGGATCACGTATAATCGATCTATATCACTTTTCCTACTACGATTGTTTTATTCTTCTTACCATATTTATTCCGTTTTACTCGTCTGGCCATAACTGCTCTATTCCACTCATCGATCGACGACAATTTTATTTCATTCGTACGACATCGATATCATAATTATTCTACTTAAAATTAAATATATTTGAACACTTGATTTCATCCCGATTAAAATATTAACAACGTAACAAGTATCGTTCATCATTAATTTATATCATCAATGCGTGCATTTGTGAATCTAATTTAGTCGGATGAAAATATCCACGGTATGAAAAAATATGTATGATTAAAATGCATCTCGTGTTTCCCTATGAATACATCTCGAATGCATCGGATGAAATTCAGCCAACGGTTATGCATACGTCTGACGGCTATTTGGTACTTTGACAACGATTGCCTGCTACGTGACTGCTATTATACCCAAGTGTGGTCAATAACGTGGCCAGGCCAGGAGAACCTTTCTTTAAATTGCTAACATCGTTTTAAAATCTACGAGTTTATTATATGTTTTATTCGATCGTCGACATACAAAACCGAATTTCTGTAATATAATTTATATGATGATTAATTTTATCGATATCGGTCAGATTGATATTCCTCGTCGTTCGTTTTAAAAATTATAAAAAGTATTACAAGTATTAATGAATTGTTTAAGTTGAAAGAGAAGCAGGAAAAAGTGGAAACGTTCGTAAGACGATCCGAGGTGTCATCGTCATACCCAGACTCTCGTATTACCGCGCTCTGCTCCTCGAACATGACAAACGGAAAGATGAAACGTACTAAGAACAAAGAACATCGTCGAGTGTCATTTGTTTTAAAGAGCAGCGTAACCACACCGGTATAATAACCTATGAAAACCTTATATTTAGTGTAGTAGAATCTTTTTAAATGAGAAAAATGTTCGTACTTTTATACGAGTGGATGATATTTTATACAAAATCAAAACAAGTCGTTCGATATTAATACGATAAATTCAAGCTCAAAAATAAAAAATAGCTCGAAACGAGACAATCTTCGAAGATTGCCACTACTTCGTTTAATTTCATCCAAATCCAAAAGGAGATAAATATCGTTCGTACAATGAAACGTTTACACGAACGAGCCTCGTACATTTTACATTTCGTGTTGCATTTCGAAAATTTCCAATGTTTTCGAGAAGCAATACACTTATTACTCCCTTCTTTTCTTCTTTCCAAATGAATACTTTCCAATGATATAAAACCCACCAAACCTTCTCCAACGAACAACTCTGTCCCCAATATCAAAATATCATGTTGTCGCGATATAACGGTTGTTCGTTTCATTTCAGAGGAGGTGTTCGGTTCCAACAAGGCTTTATGGTTCTCGCCGAGCGGCAATAAACTGGCCTTCGGTTACTTCGACGACTCCCAAACACCGATCATAACGATACCGTTTTACGGTTACCCGGGCAGCATGTCGTTCCAGTACACGACCGCGATCTCGATCCATTATCCCAAGGTAAGTGTCCAAAAGAGAGAGAAAGAGGGAGGAGGATCCCTCTTTTGCATTTCGTTTGATCTTTCGTGGCCAGGTTCTCGTCGAATCACGACTCGAGCCGTGGCTTTTGTGTGCATTCGAGGAACTGAATTTTAGAAAATTGGAGCAGGAGGAAACATCGAGTTTTCCTATCTCTCGAAGCTCGAAAATCGAACACTTCCTAGGCTATCCAAGCCTACTCTTGGAAAAAATAAGCAGTTAAAATTTGGAATGAAGTTACTTCGTTTGTGAAATGCTCGAATGCTACTAATTGATAGATGTGTTTGATGCTTCGAAAGTAACTTTATTCTCAACCTAAACTGTTAAAACTTCGTTCATTCTTCGTTGATTCTTGGTAAAAGGAATAATATTGAAAATTGTGGTTCTAATTTTTTGCCTGAAAGGAATATTTGAATAAATTGTGCACGATTTCGATGTTGATACATAATAAGAATTTATAAAAGTCGGTACACACATTTTGATGCATTTTCAATGAAAGAGATTTCATTTTGAAAAGATTAAAATGCATCTGGGATCGTATTATGGAATATAAATTGACAAGACGACTTAATCGCCTTCTTGTCTTCTTTATCAAAAAATTACGTATTAAAAGTCCAACTCCATAGAAACAGTTGGACACCGTAGATTCTTGGGACGGCTGCAAAAAAGATGATTAATATTCTCCAACCGAGTTACACGTACCACACCGCAAAATTGCTCGCGGAAAAACTTTGAATCCGCCGCGTATTCCTTCTTACTCCTGCGAGAAACTGTCCAAACTATCGAAACGAAACATCTAAAAATTATAATAACGTCGCCCATCCATTATTTATCTCCATATATTATATCCTTTACATTCTATTCTCGTCCATATGCACGTTATTAACATCACACTGCTACGTGTCATCATTTTATCCATGATATTTCTTAAAGAAGGGTGGATAGAGAGAAAGAAAGTCGAGTCCGAATTTTCCAATTCAGCACACCTGGAAAGGTTCGTATTTTTCCCCCCACTTCTAGTTTCTTTTCTCGAATTTCCACAAAGCGGCCATCTTTTTGGAAGACGCGGCGCAGCCATTAACATGGCGGCAAAGTGAGGTTAGGAACAACGAACAAAAATTACGTACCTGCAATTTATTTACGTGCCTTCTTCCTCCGCTCTGGGGACTTTTCATTACAACTTCCCGACGACGATTCTCTCTTTTCTAGGCCACTTCAACTCACGCAATTTAACTTACCTACACAATTGCGTCGCGGTTGGTAGCCCTGCTCTCCAAATGCTCGCTGACCCGTCGCAGCACGCGACTATCCAGAGATGTCGCTCTTTTCCTTCTCTTTCTCTTCAGACTGAATTTCGTCGTTCTCAATTTCTTTCTCCTTTGGTTTTACACTTGGATAACCGTAATAATAACGCGTATTACAGTCGTCAGATCATCTTAGAATGGTTGCTTAGAAAATTGCTTCGTAGCCGGGGCTAACCGGTGTGTCTGGCAGCCACTTAATCTGCATGACGGATGAGTATGAAATATGTACACGGCGAAGCATACTTGTGAAATATGTCCGTCACTAGGGCTCTGTTTACAATGCATCGATTATCCTTGGCGACTTTATAACTGGAAAGAAATTGCGAATGTATTTTCTGCATAAGGCATACCTTCGTCGATATGTTCCAAGGGGGTGAAAGTGGAGAGAATATTGTGTAAATAAATAGGTCGATAATTGCTTGATCGAGAAAGTTAAAAATAGGAATAGATTTTGAATTTAATTGATACATTATAGATTATTAGTCGCAAATTAATATCTTAGAAACATTAGATCGTGATATTCGTGTAAATGTATTAAATTGATATCGATAATATATATTTCTGAACGTTTTGCTTATTTTATTTATTTTTTCAATATTATATGAGTATAGTATAAAAATATAGTATTTATTTAATACGATATTTATTCAATATGATTGCAAATATGATGATTTTGCCAGAAAAACGTATGGAATACTCTATCTATAATCCATTCGTATACAATTTGTCTGTATATATACAATGAAAAATTCAATCCTTAAAAATTTCATTATTTTTTTCACTTGAATATAATTTCGCTTAGCAATATACTTTTTTTTACAGCGATCGAGCACTAAAAATCCCAATTTTTTTGTATTGCTTTATCTTAGACAAAATAAATATCGAAATTTTAAAAATTGATTTTAAAAAATGATTTCAAAGTAATGTTTACCTTAAAAAAAAAAAAAAAAANAAAAAAAGTATTG